TCCCTTCCAACTCCCAATATTCTGTGATTCTGTCATTCTGTGATTTCTGAATTCACAGTATCAGCAGATTGACTGTGTATTTTACTCTGTTTCTTTCATTAAATGAACCATCTGCCATTTTAAGGCTTAAGAGATGCCAGGCTGGATGGGGCTCTGAGCAACCTGGTCTAGTGGGAGGTGTCCCTGTCCACAGCAGGGGTGTTGCAACTAGATTATCTTCAAGGTCCCTTCCAACCTTAACCATTCTATGATGCTATGATTCTGTGATTGATATTTCTTAAATAAAGCTACAGGAGGGCAACAGCCCACAGAAGGTGGATGTGTTTGACCCATCAGGTTGGTTACACAGCTGAGAAAGACCATGGGAAGTGCAGAGATAAATGTACCTGGCGTAGCCACAGATGTAATTGGCTCATATGGAAAAATTGGTACCAGAAGTACCCTCTTCTGAGGTGGGGACAAAAGATGAATAAATTATTTGAGTCTAGCAGGGACAGAGGATGGATAAATTATTTATCTTGCATCTACCAGGGAGCTGACCCATTCTTGCTTCCCTTTTTTTGGATCTACTTTCTTCCTCTGAGCCACATCTGATAGCACTTGCAGCTCCTGCTCCTTTGTGTTGCAGCCTGTCCCCCAAATGATTGGCCTCAGCCCAGGAGGCAAATCACAGCTCTTTCCCATCCCCACTGGCCATCCATCTGCAGATCACTGCACTCACCACAGGCAGACAATGCTCAGAAGACAAGGTCCTGTCACGGCTACCAGTAGCCAGTGCCACTCCCGCACCAAGTATGCTACCATGGCCAGCAGCATGTTCCCGACGCTCCAGAAGATGCTGGTCAGGATCCCAGAGAAGGTGCGATGCTGTATGTCCACCCACTCCATCCCTGCAAGAGGGAGGCAGCGTTCAGCTGGGACACAAAGGACTTCTCCAGAGAGGGATCTGCAGGGCTCTTTAACAAGGGCAAAATGAGGTAACAACCCTGGTCTTCTCCTCCAGGGAAATTCCACCGTTTGGCTGACATTTGGCATGTTTAAAATGTTCATGCACAATGCTTAATCTCTTGCAAAACTATACGTAACTAAAATAAAGCCTTAAAAGAAGAAATACTGAACATATAGTAAGAAACAGTGTTAAAACCATTTTAGGTGATACTTTTAAAAATCCTATTCAGTAGAATTCAAATGGTCTTCATCGAGCAGGTAATTTTTTTTCCCCTAACCATCTGGTCTGCACAATTTCTCGTTTCTCTGCCCACTTATTATACCACATTAAAGAAATATATTAAGATGAATTGTTGTTCATGTGGAATCTATCCAGAGTAGGTACTAATGCATGTGCAAAGCCAGAGGAGATGGTTGTTTCCTTATTGTTGTGTGTGAACTAAAAGCCAATTTTGCTCCAAAGATCCAAAAGTCATCTAACAATCAGAAATGTCCTTTCCAAGCTCTACTTTGCATCAACGTTTGTAGTAATAAAAAAACATAGCAGGTCTTGGGATTTGCCAGGTCTCATTGAAGCTATTTTAGCTTGATTTTGGCTATATCTGCAAAAATCCTGGAAATTTTTGCAGCACCTGTAACTTGCTCTTGGGTACAATGATTCTTGCCTAGTACATCCCAAATCTATTTACAAAATTACGCTCTGTTGGGTACTCTGAAGTTTGGAGCTTGTTCTTATTATATAATTACCTAAATACTTCAACTTCAGTTTTACCTGACTCTGTATGATGTTTTGGGTGGGGTTTTTTTTTGTGGTTCTTCCCCCAACTCTTCCTAAACATGCAGAACTTATAAAAACTGTGAGCAAACTCAAGACTGGGAAGGTAGAAACACCTTGAAAATCACACACTGCCCTCCTCTTGCTGAGGGCACAGCAATGCTGATGGATTGTCTTAACAGTATGTTCAAAGGGTGAGAACTCGATATCAGAGAAAAGGGGAAGATCCTTTGGTTTGTGGCTTTTATTGTGCTTCTGATGATCCTTAACAATCCGTTGGCATGTTAATGTTGCGGCATGATAATGTTGCAACAGAAGTGCTAATAAGTGGTTACCATATTTTGAGTAGACTGTTAAAGCATTAATTAGACTGAATGAAAACTGTATTCTTGGATCCTCCCAAGAGGGATGTTCTTTTGGCTGCCTGGAGTGAAACTGCACACACAATGATTTCCAAACTCCTGTTCCCACCACCTCTGCCTTGTCTGGCAGATAAGTCTGTACCTACTCACAGCCTGCCAGAAGTTCCCCTGTACAACTGGGCACCCGCAAACCCCCACATACTTACCTAAAGGCAGTACAATAAGGGAGACGCCGCTCAGGCCCACCCCGGTGAGGGTCCGTGTGATGGCCAGCATGCTGTAGGAGATGGAGGTGGCGCTCAGCATCCCAAATACGACGGAGCACACGAGGGACAGCAGGAGCATGGCTTTCCTTCCGAACCTGCCACAAGCACAGGCTGGGTTACAAAGTGAATGGAAACTTGTCCCAGGAGTAGTAGGGTTTGAAATGAGGCAAGGCAGAGATTCGGGAAAGAAAACAAAAATGTTGCCTTCGCTGCAAAGAGCACGACGCCCCAGGGAGGAGGAGACAACTGTGGATGTAGCTGGTGCCACAGTGGTGCAATCCCATTCGGAGAACTAGCCTGCCCCATGAGCACGAGGCTCTCCAATGGAAAGACCAGCACTGAGCAAAACAATATATCGGGATTCCTTGTTCAACACCATCATCAAAAGCAGTGATGTCAGCTTGAAATCCCATGCTGCTGGCACACCCTGCTCCCTCCAGTGTCTGTCCCCACACCTGGCTCAGCATGTCCTCCTCCTGTGGTCACTTGGGCCCAGCCACTGCTCTCAAGGTGGAGAGAGAACTGTGACACTTTCACCCCAGTCTTTGGAAGGAACACAAAGATCCCAAAGGAAAAAGAAAAGGAATCCAATTGTCAGCCCATGTGTGCAAACAGCCCTGATGTCCTAAGAAGTCTATGAGGAATCTGCTAGGAGGTCGTTCCCTGAGGGGTTTGGAAGTTGTAGGATCATCTTACTCCTGGTGCAGAGTCCTGTGTGGAGAGTGTAGAGGAATATAGAAGAAAAAATAAACACAAATGTACATATATACACACAGAGAGAGACGGAAATACGCGTGTATGTATTTCTACACACGAAAACCTACAAATCAAGACGGAGCACAAGGCAGCAGTCTTGTGATGAACATCAGCTCTGCATCTGACGAAAACTGAGGTTTAAACTGGAGTAGTAAACTAACCCTGCCAACAGGCAATGTTCAGTCTGAAATCCTGGTCTGATTCTGGCGTTGGGGCTCTCTTAGTGCCTGAGAACGATGGTGGCAAGAATGATTGCTCCAGGGGAAAAAGTGATGTGCTGGGACATAATGTCACAATAATGGTACTAAAATTGATCAAAAATTACTTCACACAGCAGCTAGTTAATGAAATTACTGGAGAAAAAAAAAACCACAACCAACTTGTAGCCACAAGCCCAGGCAGTTTGCTGGATCTGCTTTAAAAATTAAGCAGAGGTGGTTTGCAAAAGTCATCACACGTGACCTACTCTAGCGATCCCACTTTGGCAGGGGCGTGGTAATCTTTCAAGATCCTTTCCAACCCCTAACATTCTGTGATTCCATGATGCCCCTGGGTCGGAGCAGCAAACACACAGAAACACACCAGAGCTGGATCCAGTTTCTAGTAGGGTAACTGCCTAAAAAAGAAGACACATTTTTCACATGAATATTTTTCTTGAAAATACAGTAAAAAGGATATAAAACCATAAGGATCCCTGCAGGGTTCAAGGCAGCTATTTATGGAGCCATTACTAGAGTCTCTCAGCAAATGCATGCCACCTGCTAGGGAAACCAGAGGCGAGCTGGCAGGATTGAACGGCAGGCTACAGGGAGGCTGCTAGAAATAATGCTGTTTAAAATTGTCTTCAAAGAGAGAGGCAGGAAAGCACAGCCTCTGAAAGATCGAATGTAGAAAATGTAATAAAAGGAGCAAAGTGCACAAGCATAAAAATTAGTAAAAAAAAGAAATCAATTTTCATAAGTATCCCAGTCTGGAAGTCTGCCAAAGCATCGTAAAACCTATTCGGTACAAGGAAAGGTACAAAAGGAGTCTTTGGAAAAGAGCAGACAATAACAGAATATATACATATATATATATACA